CCAAGGCGGCCCGCAAGAGCGCGCCCGCCACGGGCGGCGTGAAGAAGCCGCACCGCTACCGGCCCGGCACCGTGGCGCTGCGCGAGATCCGGCGCTACCAGAAGTCGACGGAGCTGCTGATCCGCAAGCTGCCCTTCCAGCGCCTGGTGCGCGAGATCGCGCAGGACTTCAAGACGGACCTGCGCTTCCAGAGCTCGGCCGTGATGGCGCTGCAGGAGGCCAGCGAGGCCTATCTGGTGGGGCTCTTCGAGGACACCAACCTGTGCGCCATCCACGCCAAGCGCGTCACCATCATGCCCAAGGACATCCAGCTGGCCCGCCGCATCCGCGGCGAGAGGGCCTGAGGGACTGCAGCGCCTCCCGTCTCGATCGCTAGGAAACAGTTCATTAACCCAAAGGCTCTTTTAAGAGCCACTCCATTCCCACGGGAAAGGGCTGTCTCTCGCTGGTACTGAGTTAGTGATTTATTACGGTATACGTTGTCGGGACGGGGGGTAGAGTTTTGGATTATGATTTTTAAGCCTTTTAAGCTCGTGCTTGTGTATGTTTTGTGTGCGGTGTCCTTTTCTCCTGAAATCTGAATTGGTGTGAAGGTGTCAGGGACGATGGCACCTCCCGTGTTGGTCGTTAGGAAACAATAGCCCAAAGACTTTGCAGCTATCTACTCCATTCCCAGAGACAAGGGCTGGAAAACTATATAAATTCCTCTTCGGTTTAGTCATAAAAAGTTCTGTATTAATGATCATCAATTGGTAGGTAACTGAACATGCTCATGAGTTTAGTACTGTTTCCCTAACCTGTTTCAACCCCCACAGCTTGTTAGTAACCATTATCTCTTCAGCTGATAGATAATCAACAGGGATCCTGTTTTTTGCTTGTTTTGTTTTAAAATCCTAATTTATCTGATTATCTTAAAAATCTGTTCACAGATTTTTAAGGAGAAAATCTGAACCTACAGAAGTATGGCTCAAACAGAAGGCCCCAAAATTCTGTTTCAGAGTGAGTTTTTGTAGATATACCCAAAAACCCTGTAGCAACAACTAGAAGTAGAGGGGTAAAAGTACCTGAGGGATCGCCGCACCTCTGGTCTTGGCACCAGGTTTGACAGGGTTTTTGGGTGTAGCTACGCTGGTCTAAGGACATGGGCAGGCAAGGTTCTTTGAGTAGATGTGATATCTTTTATTACACCAACTGAGTAGTTGGAGAAAAGTTCTTAGCAAGCCTTTGGGCACAAACACCCTTCTTCAGACACACTTTTCCAAAAAGCAGCTATTCATTCTTGGCCTAGTTTAATATTAAAGGTTTGATAAACAGATTCTTATTCTACATGTCCTGGGTACTGCTTGTGATATCAGTGCAAGCTTATTGATTATCAGGGATCTGGGGTTTCTGTTTGCTGTGGGCAAACACATGGCAAAACACAGATTTTCTCCTTAAAAGGAGGAAAAACTAGCAACATGACATATATTCAAAAAACAGCTAAATGGTATATCTGCAAAAACTTGCCTGCCCATGTCCTTAGACCAGCATAGCTGAAACAGAATTTTGGGGCCTTCTGTTTGAGCCATACTTCTGTAGGTTCACAGATTTTCTCCTTTAAAAGAAGAAAATCCCTGTGGAAACTGGGTTTCTCCTTGCAAACTGGCAGACTTCTGGCCTACAAGGGACTGCTTGGGGCTGTGGGGAGAGGGAGCAGGAGGTGCCACATGGATATACATGCACTCACATGCACCTGGCAGCGTGGAGGAGAGCAGCTTGAGCTCCCTCAGGTAAGGGTGGAGGGGGTGTGGGGAGTAGAAGCTACTTGTCAAGGTGGGGAGCAAGGACGACATGCCGGGGTGGGGGTGGGTTCCAGGGCCCGCATTCTCCCCTCAGATTTCTGTGCCCTATACCAGATACAGATAGGAGCTGCCTTCACAGCCAAATAGGCAGGACCTGGAGCAGGAAAGAGGGCTGAACCACCATGGCCATCAAGATGAGGCCCCCCAAATTAGGCATCACCTGTAGCAGGAAAGGGGGCTGAACCACCATGGCCATCAAGATGAGGCCCCCTCTGCTTGCCTTGTGCCCCCCCCTAACCTCTGAAGCATTACCTATATCTACGCACCCCCTTCCCCACACACTGAAGGACTAGGTCCTGGGGGTGAGGTGCAGCAGGCCAGCAGTGAGAGGCACTAGTAGGTCTGGGGGAGTGAGGAGTGGAGGGCACTGGTAGATCAGCATGACAAAACAGCTGAGGGCAGAGGGGTGGAGACACAGAATCAGATAAATTAGGATTTTAAAACAAAACAAGCAAAAAACAGGATCCCTGTTGATTATCTATCAGCTGAAGAGATAATGGTAACAGATTAATAACAAGCTGGGGGGGTGGAAACAGGGTAGGGAAACAGTACTAAACTCATGAGCATGTTCAGTTACCTACCAATTGATGATCATTAATACAGAACTTTTTATGACTAAACCGAAGAGGAATTTATATAGTTTTCCAGCCCTTGTCTCTGGGAATGGAGTAGATAGCTGCAAAGTCTTTGGGCTATTGTTTCCTAACGACCAACACGGGAGGTGCCATCGTCCCTGACACCTTCACACCAATTCAGATTTCAGGAGAAAAGGACACCGCACACAAAACATACACAAGCACGAGCTTAAAAGGCTTAAAAATCATAATCCAAAACTCTACCCCCCGTCCCGACAACGTATACCGTAATAAATCACTAACTCAGTACCAGCGAGAGACAGCCCTTTCCCGTGGGAATGGAGTGGCTCTTAAAAGAGCCTTTGGGTTAATGAACTGTTTCCTAGCGATCGAGACGGGAGGCGCTGCAGTCCCTCAGGCCCTCTCGCCGCGGATGCGGCGGGCCAGCTGGATGTCCTTGGGCATGATGGTGACGCGCTTGGCGTGGATGGCGCACAGGTTGGTGTCCTCGAAGAGCCCCACCAGATAGGCCTCGCTTGTGGGGATCGCCGGCTCCGTCGACTGCTGGTGGCGCCGGATCTCGCGCAGCGCCACGGTGCCGGGCCGGTAGCGGTGCGGCTTCTTCACGCCGCCCGTGGCGGGCGCGCTCTTGCGGGCCGCCTTGGTGGCCAGCTGCTTGCGGGGCGCTTTGCCACCGGTCGACTTGCGCGCAGTCTGCTTCGTGCGGGCCATTCTCACACGCAAACGCTCAGCCTTCTGACACTGCTCAGGAAAACTCACAACAGCTCTTCTCCGGCTCTCGCTTTTATAGGCAAGCTCTCCGTCCCGATTGGCCGGGTGCCGAGACGCGCCTGCCATTGGGTAACGTGAACTTTTGAAAAGCCCGCGCTGGCCGAGCCGGAACCCGATCCGCCCCGGCCTGTCCCCGCCCCTCTGCCTCAGGCCCCGGCAGCTTGGGGCCACGGCCCGGTCACCATTTCACGTCCACACGGGCCGAACTTTCGTTTCCAGCCACCTCTTTTTGTCTCCAGCCTGAGCCGCCGCCAGCCAGCAACAGTCGCGGGAGACGAAGGGCGCCGGGGGCGGAGGGAGGACCAAGGAAGCGAACGGCTGCGCCGAAGGGAGGTCGCGCTCTGGTGTTCAGGGGGCAACAGAAAAGGCGACGCGGCTCTTCAAAACGCGTCGCCTCCCCGTGCCCCGTCCCTCCCTCTCCTCCCGTCCCTCCCTCAAGCTCGGGCGGGAAGAAAGCGGCAAGGCCTGAGCTAGAGCCAGGGACGGGTCTTTGGTAAAGGGGCTCGCCCTCCCCGCGACACCAGTACGTGCAAGGACACAACCCATTCAACAGCCGGCGGCCTAGAGCAGAGAAATGGCAGAAACACCAGCGCCGGCTCTTTTCCTCGGCCCTCGCGCCCCCCTCCCCCAGCTGCTCCCAGGGCACCGAACGCGGCGCGGTTTTCAATCAGGTCGGGCTTTGCCGCCAGGCGCAGCCAATCAGCCGGTGCCTGCCGCCTTCTTGTCGTGACGTTTTTCAAACGGCTTGCTCCGACATCACGGCGCGGGGGAATTCAGGGACCCCCGCCGTCAGCTCCCCCTGCCCGCGGGGCGGGGTCTGAAGGTGTGTGAAGCTGCTGCCGGGGAAGCAACATATAGGCGCCCAAATCCAGCTCACTTAGACTTGTCATTCAGAGGGCAGCCCCCTCCTCTCAATCCGAGGACTACGAATCTCGGATTGGAAGGAAAAGGGCTGGCGGCCTTTAAGCGACTGGATGGAAAAGACGCGGCTACCTTTTCTTCAGCCGCACTTGCAGGCACACCTGCCTAAGCCTGCAGGGCAAGAAGTGGCGACAGGAGTCGCTTGGTGACTGCTTGTTGACTCAAAGACCCCGTGAAGGGATAGTGGCCTCCGCCCCCGCGCACGAACTTGTAGCGAGCCCTCCCCGCTATGAAAAAACTATCCAGACATCCACCTTCAGCAGCGGCCGGCACCGGGGCAGCTTTGAAATGAACCCGGACGATTTTCGCCTACTTAGTTCGGGCTGCTGAAGTGTTTGCTGGTCACAGTTTCAAGGAAAGAGCCGCCTTCACAGAGGCACGGTCTGGGACGTGGTGCTGAGCAGGGCTGAGGACAGAGAGAAGTGGGGCAATGGCTAGGTAGGCTGCACTGAAGTTAAAGGTGCTCAAGATTACGCGGGGGTGCTATTTCCACGCCTCCTCCTGCCCCCAAGGGCCGGGAAGCAATTTGGGAAAGTGGTTAGGAACAAAGACAGCTTCTACAGCTCTTTAAGTGATCAAGTGGGTGGCTCTTAAAAGAGCCTTTGGTTGAAACGATGCAGGAAGCATGCGAGGAACCCGTTTACTTGGAGCTGGTGTACTTGGTGACAGCCTTGGTGCCCTCGGACACGGCGTGCTTGGCCAGCTCCCCGGGCAGCAGCAGGCGCACGGCGGTCTGGATCTCCCGGGACGTGATGGTCGAGCGCTTGTTGTAGTGCGCCAGGCGGGACGCCTCCCCGGCGATGCGCTCGAAGATGTCGTTCACGAAGGAGTTCATGATGCCCATGGCTTTGGACGAAATGCCGGTGTCCGGGTGCACCTGCTTCAGCACCTTGTACACGTAGATGGAGTAGCTCTCCTTCCTGCTCTTCTTGCGCTTCTTGTCGCCCTTCTTCTGCGTCTTGGTGACCGCTTTCTTGGAGCCCTTCTTGGGGGCGGGGGCGGACTTGGCGGGCTCAGGCATCCTGGTACGACGGACCACGTCCTTCACTACCAGTCGACAAACAAACAAATGTCACAACTGCGCGGCAATGGCGGCGGCCGCCCGGCATTTATAGCGGTGTTATGCAAATGAGCAGATTCCGCTCCGTGCGATTTTACTGGACGCGAGGCCCGCGCGACGGCCCCTCCCGCCGGCCTCCCTCGCCATTGGTCAAG